TTCCATCAGGTCAGTCATGGTTCCATCAGGTCAGTCATGTTTCGGGTTATCAGGGAGAACCTCTGACCTGCGCAGTGTCTTGTTGGATCCCAGCAGCTTCCCAAGCAGTTCAGCTCCTGTGGATCGGAGGTTGTTCCCCTAGAAACAGTTAAAGCCACAGATATGAAGACATCTTCAGATACCAGCTTCCAGATGTTCCTTCCTGTGGGTCAGAGAACCAACGTACCTTCAGATCCAGACTTTCTACTGACGTGTTGTGAAACAGTCCAGTCAGCAGCGCGTTGGAGCCTGAGGCACAAAAGCTCTGTTACTTCATTGGTTGCAGTTGCTCCTAGCAACATCTGTCCTCTGTCTCCTAGCAACACTTTTCCTTTGTCTCTTAGCAACATCTGTCCTCTGTTTCCTAGCAACATCTTTCCTTTGTCCCTTAGCAACATCTGTCCTCTGTCTCCTAGCAACATCTTTCCTCTGTCTCTTAGCAACATCTGTCCTCTGTCTCCTAGCAACATCTTTCCTTTGTCCCTTAGCAACATCTGTCCTGTGTTTCCTAGCAACATATTTCCTTTGTCTCCTAGCAACACTTCCCTTTAGAATCATTAAATCATATTAACTAGTGGAGACGACTGAACTGAAACCATCAGAACCTAAAACCCATAACTGGTTTACTTTAGCTCCTTTCCAGACCTTATATGATACAAACTTCCTTTCAATCAGGTTATTTTCCATTCAAGCAAATATCGACGGTCTCTCCAAGCTCAACTCAAGCATGTTCAAAAATTTACAGTTTTTCACTTTTTTTCTTTAAAAATGTAATATTTAAAAGTAATCAGATCTCTTAAAGTAAATGTTCAGATTTTCTTTCATTTGAATGACGTCTCAATTATGAACAACTTTAAAACAGACAGACTATGTAGCATTTAAAGGGAAAGTAGAAACCTGGAAAACTACCAACAAATGTCTCTAATAAAAAGTGCAGAAGTTTTAGGCGCTTCAGCTGCAACAGTTTCAATCAAAGAACCAATAATCAAATTATAATACAGTATAAAATGCTGTTTGCTGTGAAGCTTTGAACTGAACGTGACTGAAGAAGCTTCAGTTCATGAAAGGAAACGTACAGAAAGTGATCAGCTTATCTGCTGCAGGACTTTTCTATGAAAACAAGGATGAAGCAGGAATCCGTTTGCTTCAAAGCAGAAACTGACTTCGGCCTAACGCGGCGTCAGAACCTGAAAGGGAAGTCGCTCTCGGAGCTGATCTTGCTGTGGGAGAACATCTCCAGAGAAAGGAGCGTGGTACCTTCCTCAGTGAGCATGCAGTCACTCAGTGAGACCTCCGTGAAGACGTTCTCCCTCTGCAGAGCCCTGGACAGAACCGTGCAGGTTCCTGTGGTCAGGCTCTGTCCGCTCAGGTCCAGCCTGGAGATGTGAGCGCCGCCGCTCTGCTGGAGCTGAGCCACCACGCTCTCCTGGGGCTCCACGCCAGCCTCCTTACACAGCTGGAGGTACGTCCACCTGAAGGCCTCCATGCTGGGCGTTCCTCCCTCTGCCTTTGGAGACCTGAGATGCAGCTGAAAGGAGACACAGATTTTCACCACAGACCAAGTTTAGCAGCTTCTAGGTGATGCTTTCATTTCTGCAGGAAGCCACATTTCCTCCGCTAGAGGTCAGAGGTCACCCTCTGCTGTGGATCTCTCTCTGCTAAACACCAAAGAGCCTCAGACTGAGGGGCTGAAAGGCATGGAGGCCCATCCAGCAGAACCAGAACCAGAACCAGACTGGGCCTCTGTCCCTACAGGCTGAGGGGCCAAAGGTAACCCAGGGAGGAAAATGCACCAGGATGGAGCCCTGAGGTTCTGCAGACCTCAGGGCTCCATCCTGGACCGGAACCACCGAGCAGAACCCAGCAGGACCAGCTCTGCTGCAGACTAACTGAAATTCATTCAGATGTTCTGCTTCTCATTCAGTGAACTCAACCAATCAGAACTCTAAACCATAAACAAAAACACAGCAGAGAGGAACAGAACCGGAACCGGAAGCAGAGATGTTCTCCCTCCGAGTCTGGATTTATGAGAAGAATCAAAACGAAACCAACCTCAGAAAACAGAAAATATTATCGGTTCGATTCAAACCAGAAGAAAACAGGCGAAGGAGTAACCAGGAAGTGGAAGCCGCAAGGCATCATGGTCAGCGTAGTTCGCTTTAAACCATACAGCTTCAGCCTGCTGATCCTTACCTAGCTTTACCGCCCTCTTGTGGACAGACCGAGCATTGAATGGAAACTTTGGACTATCAGAAAAACAGCGAAAAAAATCAAAGTGAAGCTTTAAGGACAGTCTGAATACAGGAAACCATCATCCTCATCCTCAGCCCTTCATCTCTGACCTGCGATTGGCTCTCCATCCATCCATCCATCCATCCATCCATCCATCCATCCATCCATCCATCCATCCATCAACCAGCAGCTCATTTCTAACCTTAGAAAACCCAAAATGCTGATCATTCTTCATTACTTTGAATTATTTGTCCAATAAATTAACCATAAGTTGTTTTTTTTAAGTCATTTCAGGAAAATACAAAGTTAAAATTTTCTTTATTTAATAAATTTAAATGGAATGATTGCGTCCCTGAAGAGAAATATCCATAACGTCCATAAATCTATGAAGAGAGCGATTAGAAATAATACGGAGAGAAGTTTGATTAAACAGGTTAAACATAAGAATGTCACATTTTATGACATTTGATTGATTATGATTAAAAAAAGATTAGGCATATCTGTTTAAAAGATTAAACACAAAAACGATTAAATAGGAAGCTGCGATACGTTAGGGATATATTTTTTTATATCATGTTTTTAACTGATGAAAACCAAAGATTTTTCATTTAAAATATTCTGTTAAAGCTTTACAAGTTTACTCCAATGTTCCTTTGCTGGGATTCGATTAGTGACACAATGTTCTTACATTTTCCTCAAGTTTTCTTAAAAAGCTTAGTTGGTTGAACGTGAGCTTCCTTTTCTTTGTCTGTTGGTTAAAAAATTTAAAACTTTAATAACTTAAAAACCTAATAATTCATCTATCTCGTGTATTTTTGTCATTTTGCTTTATTTAATATGTCTCTTTCTATTATTTCTTTAAATCCTTTAAAGAAGCCGCATTTGCTTTGCCTGCCCTGTGAGTCGCAGCGTTCAGCAGGAATCCACAAATAAACAGAAATGTTCTCTTTTCAGTAAGTGATCAATTATTATTAAATATTTAAGGATTCTTTAATAATCTGGAAGATTTTATCAACAAAACAGAAACTTTCTAACAGGCTGTTTGTCCAAATATCCAAGCTCTCAGATTATTATGGGAGATGATTTCAGTAATTGGATAATCTATAGATGCTAATAATCATCCTTTAGTTTCTCTTATTCAGGGACTGAATGTAGATTTATGGAATCACGATGGCTGATTTCAAAGAATTTGAAAATAACGTTGCAAAGATTTTTCCCACAATTTTTCAGACCATTACTTCCTCTGGTCCTTTATTAAACAATTATTATAACCTTTCTGCGTCTTTCCTTTTCCTGTCATCATTCAATAATAGAATGAAGGTAGTTATTGATGACGTTTTTAGAAGAATATTTCTAATAATGTCAGATCATCCTCTGAATGGAGGATGCTGGTGACTTCCTCTGAAGGTGACTCTCTGTCTTTGGTTCCTCTCCTAGATTGTTCCTCAGTGACGCTTTAGACCGACGCGCCTCTGTCTCTACAGCTCCACATTAGGATTAGAGACACATGGGGGGAGAGTTTCAGATCTATGAGTCGATTCGCTGATGATGCAGTTTTGTTTTTAAAGGAAGTTTCCTCAGTGCTTAAAGTAACAGAAGGTTTCTGGCCTGTTTCTCAATACGAACAATGAATGGAGACACTTCTGTTTGTCAATTTCCTGTTAAAACCTCCATAACCAATCTAGGTACCATTATCTCTAAGGACAGAAAAAAAGAAGCATAACTAACTTTTCTCCTATCAGAGGAAAATCCAGAAGAGTTTTTATTAATAATCCTCCTGTCTGGTCTATCCTACGCTGAACAGTCATCATCTGTCCAGAAATCAATGTTATTTGTTTCTTGGAGAAATAAAACTCATTATTTGTGTAAATCATCAAGTCAAACAGTTTAAACTTTTTAAATAAAATAGATTAAAAAGCTCAGAGTTTCATTTTCCGTGATGACTTTTCACACCTCAGGTCCATTTTCTCACAGTCATGGTTTGATATTATTTTATTTAATCAGCTCTTTGGTGAAATATTCCTGTTACTGAAAGAGAATTTCATTTTCTTTTAGTTTATTCAGAGATGATGATCGCAGACCGACGGTGCTCCTTTACCTTTGCAGGTAATTCCACTAAACATCTTATCCTCCATTTTCTTTCCGATCCCAACTGGAGGGAAATCCAGCCTCTTCCACAAAAATATTTTCTTACAAATGAAGTGAAAGACGATTTATCAAATTAAATCACTGTTTTTATCAGATCAAACAGTTCCTACAAAAAAAGCAGATATATGCTTCTAGATGTTTCCTGCTGTTTTTACTGCTCTATCGTCTGAAAGCATAAAACATTTTATTTCATGTCTTGAAAATTATATTTTTTGGGGAAAAAAAGCAAAATATGGCTGCTGAGTGGTGCAGTGGGTAGCACTGGTAGCTAGAAGGTTTCAGGTTCAATTCCTGGCCCGGGGTCTCTTTGCATGCGTGGGTTCTCTCCGGGTACTCCAGCTTCCTACCACAGTCCAAAAACATGACTGTTAGGTTAATAGGCTTTTCTAAATCCTCCTTAGGTTTGAGTGTGAATGACCCTCGCCAGGATAAGATGATGGAAAATAGATGATTTTGAAAATGTTTTGTTTGATTTTACACAGTGTTTTTTTCCCCTTCATAAATCTGATTCTGCTCTCAGCAAACTTCCACATTCCCAAAAGCAAAACAATGAGAAGGTCCAAAATAATGAAACACTCTCACACTCTGGTTAAAAAAAGGCTTTAAAGACTTTAAATGTTGATAATACACAAATTAATTTCTTAACTCTCCTCTGTGTTTTATTTGTGTTCTTTGCATTGATGTATTTATTTTATTTCATTTTTTTGTGATTTTTCTTGAGGCTTTTTTTGTCCTGATCTATTGATCTCTTGCTGTTTCTTTTTGAGGTTTTTTATTTATCCTATTTTAACATATGGTTCTCACCTGTATTTAAATTTTGTAAATATTTAAATAGAGTAAGAAAAGGAATATATAGGATTTGGTTTATCTAAAGGGGAACGCCATTTTTCTTTTCCATTGGGCCCTTGATTTGACGTTATTACATCATGTTCTACTCACCCATATGAGTTTTGTGTCTTTTGAAGCTATTCTGAAGATATTCCGTTAGGTTATATCCAAGTAACGTCATTTATGGGCAATGACGTCATACAGACTCCGCTTTGTTTTTAAAAGATATAAATATAAAAAACCTAACCGCGGATCTCTAGGGGACAGTGATTGGCCTACATGTTATGAATGCTGGCGTACCATAAAGAATAAATTATGAACAGTTTAGTTTGTGACTTCAACTTGTTGCCCATAGGAAGACGTTACTTGAATATAATCTAACAGAATATCTTCAGAACAGCTCCAAATGACACAAAACTAATATGGTTTAGTAGAGCATGATGTAATAACGTAAAATCAAGGGCCCAATGTAAAAAAAAACGGAGTTTACCTTTAATGTAAACATTAATTAATCTCAAAGGACAAAACTGATACTCCGATACGGTAGGGGGCAGTATGCAGCCAAAAGTCTACAATTAAATAATAATTAGAAAAGATGCGCTTTCCTCCTCGGGCAGCAGAGGGCAGTATAAACCACGTGGGCCGGCCGGCAGTTCAGTCTAAGGAAGAGAAGGAGAAGCAACATGGCGGCTACGGCAGGCAGCTCTCTGGCCAAACTTCAGTCACTAAATGGACTTTTCGCCATTTATAAGAAACCGGGACCTACTTCCGCCGATGTGCTGAACGCGCTGAAGGACGCGCTGCTCAGAGGTAAACGCTCCGGTTCCCACAGCAGCAGAACCGTGGAGGTCTGCGGGTCACTCAACGGTTCTTCCTCTGTGTTCCTGTTGAAGAAGCGGGGCTGCAGAACCCCAACAGTAGGAAGAGGAAGAAGCAGTGGGTGAAGATTGGCCACGGAGGGACCCTGGACAGCGCCGCCAGCGGGGTCCTCGGTGAGCGACCGCTTTATAAACGGAGACTCCTGATTGGACGGAGTTCGACGTGCCTATAAGGCGGCCATCTTGGGTCAGACCACAGTTCAGACAGCTGCTGTCAGAATGAATATTATTATTTTTATTCAGTACTTTTAAGGATTGCTATTTGATAGTTAGTATTATAAAATTAAGATAAAGTTAATTAAAAAATATAATAACTTTACTCTCTTTTGTAAATCACATTACTACAAATTTTCTTCTATTGATCATAAAACTCAGTATCAAAGAGCAATCCTTAAAAATACTGAATTTTAATAATATACTATATAAGTATATAATGTTTGAAAGTCATAGTTTTAATATATTAATATATCTCATCCAGTTTGAGTTCAGTTTAGTTTTTAATGTGAATAAATCTGTGTAATCTAACTGAAAGGTCATTATAACTTTTGTTCTTTTAAGGGTTTGTGATATGTTAGAGATTATTGTAATATTATCACTGACTCATCTTCAATGTGATTAAAATGAGATCTGAGGCACCTGTCGCTACCCGATCCGTCCCAGAAGCACCATCCATTCTGCACATGCGCTGCTTCTTCTCTTCTCCCTGGCTTTTAATCAAGTCTAAAAGGACATCTGGCAAAAAAAAAATTATTTATTTACATTTTTATTTAAATGTTAACTTATTTTGTTTTTATTAGATTTTATTGCATTGTGTTTATGTATTTTAGCTTTTACGTTTTTACCTTATTTCCTGCGACTTTGATATCAACCCCGGTTGCTTTAAAAGTGCTTTATAAATAAAATTTGAGTTGAGTTAAATGTATTTCCTGAGAAAATAAAAGCATTTAAATCCTTTCTGTTTTATCCCTCTGTTCCTGATCTGTACAGGAAATGGGATGCTACGCTACTTCCAGGAGCTAACTTTATCAGCTTTGGATTTAACCATAAATCTAGTCTTTTGGAGTTTTAAGTTTTCCTTTCATGTCAACAGTATGGTATATAGTGTATATAGTATCTATAGAAAGAAACCACCAGAATGCAGATAAACATGGTTTAATCAGATTTACTGCTCTGAGCATGTCCCATGATGACATTAGAGAAGCTGTTTAATGAAAAAAAATGTAAAAAAAACATTAAAATTGTCTCACAAAAGTCATGAAACATTTTTTTAAAGATGTGTATTAGCATTCTTTAGTGAGTTAAGGACAAAAATAAGTAGTTTTAGTACCATAATTCCATTATTTATGGAAACCCTGGTGTATGTCTGTTCGCTCATGCGCAGGACGGATCGTGCTTCCTGACGAATCGGGTGGTGACGGGGCCTCCTATTCATTCTGACAGCAGCTGAACTGTGGTCTGACCCAAGATGGCTGCACTATGGGCACCTCGTCCAGCGTCCAATTAGGCGTCTATGTATATAATGTCCATTAGCGAGGAGAACCGGGCTGGTGGTGTTACCACTAAACCTGTGACCACAGAGGGCGCTCAATAAACACCTTGAAGACGATTGAGAAGAAGAGCACTTCAGAAAAGCTGCTAAGCTCTCCTAGTCCCAAACTGGCCCCTAAGCACCAACCCTTCATCTGCGTGTTCCCATGGAGGGTTCGCCGCTTTGAGGGCGGTGTTGTGCTGAGAATTGCTTCCCCTGTTGCAGCGGTGCACATCGCCCTAAACTCTCCCACTGAGGAGGAAACTGATTTGAAATATGAACGAAAAGGAACTTAAACATATTGTAAATGTTTTCATATTTCTAACATTGAGAGTTTTGGTGGACAGATAAATCCCAATGAAACCGATTTTTACGTGTATGGAGAAACGTTTCAGTCCATGAGCTACAGTCAGTGTCTATGAATCTATTCTCTGCTCAGTGGATTCATTTCCTGCTTTTGCTGTCAACACCATTCCAGATCATTTCTGACATTTTATTTCTTAAACTTAAAGTATATAATTTCACGTATTCATTCATAGTTTTAATTCCTTCCTTCCTGTTTTTTGAGGCAGGTACATCAGTCAGGCAATATTTGGGTAAAAAAGGGAGGGAATCTTCTTCAGGTTCCACATTCTAAGTTTAAGTAATAAACTTTAGTTTTCCTAATGTCTTCCAGTTGGTTATTGAGAGACACGCTCACTAGCGCCCTCTGCCGTCACAGTTTGTGATGGATCCCACCGGTACCGGTCCACTTCAGTCCGTCATCTGTTGACCCACGATCCTCTCTGTGCTTCCAGTTGTTGGCGTCGGCGACGGAACCAAAATGCTCAGCTCCATGTTGACTGGTTCTAAGGTGAGTTTGGTTCCAGACCAAACCGGCTCGCTTTGGTCACATTGACTGAAACGATTCCTGATGTCATAATGTTGTCCTCACCTGCTGACATCGTAGCTGACACCACAGCATCCCTCTGGTTCCAGGATGATGATCCTCCTCCTGCTCTCTGGTTCTGATCCACAGAACCACAGGGTTCGGTAGAACATCCTAAAACTGTTCAACTTGGGTCCAACATTTCCCGATTCCTTTCTTCCTTTTCCTGATATCTTCTTCTAGTCAGAACCAGTGGATCTGGCTCCGGTTTTGTACGCATTCATTCTGAGAATGCATGGAGATGACCGGTCTGTGGTTCTGTTGGTGTTTAGGAAGCAGCCTTTGGGTCCTCAGAACTGTTGGTCTGAGGGGTTCTGGTCAGAGGAGAACAGTGGCTGATGAAGAACATCAAGATCAGGGTTATTGGACCAGATCTTGGTACCTTTGGTGGTCTGGGTCAGTACCAAGTCCTTCAGCCTGTCAGCAGAGGGAAAAATGTCCGTCTAGGTGTTGCCTTCCCTTCAGGCTGCAGTTCTCCCAAAGATTCACCGAGCCGATGAAGGATCCTGGCATCAAATCCACGTGTTTTCTGTTGAACATTGATGCTGTATGATTAAAGACGGTTTAATTTAGCCCTAGAAGTACGGTTTCATCGTCCTACCTCTAGCCAGACAGCTGCCACCTTCTCTCCCCCCCTTCGGCGAACTCATCCCATCGGCCGCCATCCTCCTTCATTTAATCAAGTGTTTTACCGGTTTCTGGCTAGCATTGCTACAGCCTTGAAAAATGACTAACTGTACGCCCTGTTTTCCCCCAGAAACCTCACTCAAATGTTCAAAACTTCACAAGCAACAGCTGCTAGAGATAACTGAAGATTCTCAGCCATCCAGGTCATAGCCATTCCAAAAAAAGTAAAAAAAAAAAAAAAAAAAAACCCAAAACAATCCACTGGACTTTGTTTCCAAGTTTGAAGACATTTCTCTTCCCATCCAGGAAGCTTTTTTAAATTGAGAATGTCAGAAATAGGGTTGAGTTCCAGGTTTTATAGGGTGGACCAACAAAGCCTTGTTATGGCTTAGAAAACGTGCAAATTGAAGCGAACGACTGGGTTTACCGCCTTGCATTACCCGTTACTGACCTATGCCTCTGAAAAGCCAGGCCAACAGCGACCCTAACGACTCCCCTTTTCAGAGGCATAGGCCAGTATCGGGTATTGCAGGCTAAAGTGCTGGTTATCCTCCCGCAGCAGTGTGTTGCAGTGAGCTTGTCGCAGGTATGATGCAGATATTTTGGATTTATGCCCAATATTGAAGGGTTGTCTGCACTATGTTATTCCACGCCACAAAGCCAAAGGGTAAATCAGGAACTAGCTAGGATTTTAGATGTCCGTGTGTCAGTTTGATGAGTTTGTTGGCCGTCTACAACCCCTCATCCAATGCCGGACGACACACAGTTCACCCGTGAGTGTTCCCCAAAGACTGGCCATAACATTACGTGTTTTGGCTGCTGGTGCAAACCAACAGACCGTCACACAGAGCTACAAACTAGCGTCCTGCACGGTGTCTGGGATAGTGTCTGAGGTGTGCCGGGTGCTGTTGACGGAGCTACAGCCAGAGTTTCTGCCATTGGGTACCAAATAGGAAATATGCATAGTGTAGAGCGGATGTAGAACTGATCAATCAGAGGCCTCCTGTCTGCGGTCACCTACAATTTTGTCTGTGGAAGGGGGGGGCATATCGGCGTTAACTGCAAAAAAACACGCAGACCACCTGGTTTCTGAGCATAAACCAGGCTAACAAGGAGCTAACTTGTTGATAAAGTGATGCTTTCTGCTGTTTCTTAGTGTATCTAATCCAAACTGTCCACTGAATTTCAGAAATATGTGGCTGTGGGGGAGCTGGGCAAAGCTACAGATACTCTGGATGCCACCGGCACCGTGGTTCTGGAGAAGACCTTTGGTAAGGATCAGTTCTTCCTGCTGTGTGGTTTGGTCCTACTGTCTGCAGCCTGTGGTGTCTGTGTCGGTTTCCTCAGAGCACGTCACCAGGATGGACATGGAGGAGAAGCTGAAGGCCTTCACTGGGGACATCATGCAGGTTCCTCCGCTGTAAGTCAGCCTCACTCAACAAAACCAGATTCATTCAGGATTATTTCAGCTCTTCTGGGATGCGTAGCAGCTTAGCGAGCTCTGAAGTTCTGCTGTGTTTCAGCTACTCAGCCCTGAAGAAGGACGGCCAGCGTCTATCTGTCCTCCTAAAGAAGGGTCACCAGGTGGAGGCCAAACCTGCGCGTCGTGTCACCGTCTTCAGCCTGAAGCTGCAGGACTTCCAGCCTCCGCTCTTCACCCTTGGTTAGCAGGCGCCGCCGCCTCTGTTCTGATACGCTCCGTGGTTTTCCTGTCAGCCGTTCATGACCGCTTTCTGCCTGGTTGACAGATATCGAGTGTGGAGGTGGATTTTATGTCAGGAGCTTGGTGGACGACCTGGGCAAAGGTAAAGACCCGCCCCCTGTTGGGATTGGTTGATGAAACTGGCTCTTTAACGAGGTTTCTGTACCACAGCTCTATCATCCTGTGCTCACGTGAAGGAGCTGATCAGGACCAAGCAGGGCCAGTTCACCCTGCAGGATCATGTGCTGCACGAGGATCGCTGGACGCTGGAGGACATCTGTGGAGTTCTGCAGCCCTGCTCAGACGGGGGACCGCAGCTGAGCGGGAAACGGGGCAGGACCTCCCCGGGTCCCAACGGACCGACAGCTGACCGGGGACCAAGCCAGGACCTCCCTGGGTCCCCACGGACCGACAGCTGCCCGGGGCAGGACCTCCCTGGGTCCACACGGACCGACAGCTGCCCGGGGCAGGACCTCCTGGGCCGTCATCAACCTGCTTCGGTTCTTTTGTTTTGGTGAAAAACTGACATTACAAACGAGCTCTGCTCTCATGGACGTCTGTGGACCAGCATGGGCTGGTTCTGCTGGTTTTTGTGGGATGAATGACATCATTTTCAGTTCTAGACCAAGAAATAAAATTTTTTAATTTCATTAACTTTGTGTTATAAATACAGTAATGTTTGGTGCTGATTTGGTTTTTGTGGGCTTTTTATGCATCAGAACCACCAACAGTTTCTGAATCGAACCAGAATCAAAAGTTGGCCTCCAGTCTGGCCTTTGACACTTCTACCCACTGATCTGTATTCACTGGATTGCTGGTAGGCCAAGAAAACTGAAGTCACCTGCCACCATCTTGGTACTCCCTGCTCTCACGGAGTCACACCATAAATATGCCTGTAATGTTATTCCCATAACAATCTAATCGATACATTTACATAATTAATGTTATAGATGCTAAATTGTTCTTAATATCTGACCACCATTATTATGCTCCATTTACACCTTCATTTTGTGGTGATGGATTTGTTTAATATGTTATATGATTTATAGACTTCATACTATGTAATATGTATGTGCCTTTTTTTTTCTTTGTGCAAGTGATGAATTTGTCTTTATTTTAAGTCTTTTGCTCCCCAGAAAAGGATAAATTCATAGTTATTCGATGCTGTAGCGCACATTGTTTGCTTTATAACCTGTCTAACTAGGGAGTACCAATATGGTGGCTGGTAACTTCACATCAGTGTTCTACCATCAGCAAAATAGTGAATAGAGATCAGTGATGCTACGGGCTAATTTCACCACGTATCCTTTGATCATGGCTGGAGATGAACTAACTGGAAAACTAGTCAGTGAATCATTAGCAGTTCCTAGCCGCTAATGGTGCTAAAGCTGCCAGTAATACCAACTAGTAACGTACTAATGATGCTACACTACTAGTAATGCTAACTAGTAATGCTGCTAATGATGCTACACTACTAGTAATGCTAATTAGTAATGCTGCTAATGATGCAACACTACTAATAATGCCAACTAGTAACACTGCTAATCCTGCTAATTATGCTGCACTACTAATGCCAACTAGTAACGCTGCTAATGCTGCTAGTGATGCTACCCTACTAATAATACCAACTAGTAACGCTGCTAATGATGCTAAACTACTGATGATGCCAACGAGGAACGCTGCTAATGATGCTA